CTCGCCTGGCACCAAGAGGTCGCGGACCCCTGGCACACTTGGGTAGGGGGGGTGGCACAGGGGGGGTGACAGGTGCCCTGCCACCCCCCGGTACCCACCTCTCGTTTCCAAAGTGACCGGTTCGGAGAACTCGCCCGCCACAGCCTTGTTACACGCCCGTACCCGAAAATTCATGTACTTCATGTCAAACTTCAGCCCTGCGGGTACAGCAGGGTGACAAAGCAGGGCACGGGGAGGGGCACTGCGACCCCCATGTCCCCTACAAAGCCTGGCACTGCCACCCAGCCCCCTGCGACAGCCCCAGGCCCCTGCCACCTGCGGTGCCCGCTCCCAGCCTGGCAAATTTGGGGCTATTTTCGCCCCCGTGCCCTCACCGGAGAGGGTGTACTCGGTGCCCTTGATGCCCTCGACCACCATCCAGGGCTGGTCCTCCTTGGCGCGGGGCGGCCCCTCGAAGTTGGTCCTGCGGTACTCCAGCACGTAGTGGTCGATCTTGCTGTCCTCATCGGGCATCCTCCAGGCCAGCGTCACACAGTTATCGGCCACCAGCGACTCCGCCAGGTCAATCTCGGGGGTGCTGGGCACTGCCCGCGGGAGCAGCCGTGCCAGCGTCCCCCCACCGCCGCAGCCCTGCTGCCAGCCAGGGTGGCCCCAGCACCCCCGGGGCACCCATAGGTCCCATGGGCTCGGCACCTCAGAGACCCCAGGCACGGCACCCGTAGGACCCATGGGCACAGCACCATAGGGACACCACGTGTGGCATCCCGGAGACCCCGAGCACGGCACCCGCTGCACCCTTAAGGCACAGCGTCCAAACCCCCTCATCCCTCCGTCCCTGGCACCTTCTCGCCCCTCTGGATGGGGTACCACAGGGTGCCCCAGGCCTGGCACCCCCCCACAGCTCCTCACCCCATCCCCTGGCACCCAGCAGACCCCTTAAGCCCTGGACCCCCGCCCTCGCGCTGTCCCCTTGCCAGGCTGGTACAGCCCTCCGTGCCCCCGGCACTGCCCTTCCCTTGCACCGGGAGAAACCCACCCTGTCCCCCCGTGTCCCTGTGTCCCTGTCACCCGCTGCCTGCGGGCGATACCTGGCAGGAAGGCGAGGGCCTGGAGCAGGCGGCGTTCCTGGGCAAAATCCACCATCAAGTGGCTCATGTTGTCGCTCACTTTGGCCTTGAGCGAGAGGCGGAAGGCGGGTGCCATCGTCACGCTGCACGGGAGACACGGGGATGAGGGTCAGCGGGGCCGGGAGCCAGACACCCACCCAGCCCTGACTGCTCACCCCCTGCCCTGCGTGGCCGTGGGGAGGTGGGGAGGGCGGGCAGAGCCACCCCAGCACCCACGGGGCCGCACGCCGG